TCTATCTACTCTTTACCCTCTTATCCCACTGCCGTCCTATCACAACTTCTAATTTCAATCATCCAAATGTGTGCTCTTTGTGGCACGAGTTCGTATCTTGGTGCGGAGAATGGCAAGGCTCACTGATGATGCCGACTACGAGACCGGCGAAACGTTTGGGATGCTAAGAAGTCAAGACAACTACTATGGCAGACGACTTCGGACTCGGTGCGTTCTACATAGTCTCCCTGAACACAAGACCAAGTTGCGACAACGAGGTCAAACCACTTCAATAAGTCGAAAGGAGACTGCGACCATACCCGAGGCCACAACATCTTGGTCTTCACATCTACAATCGACTATATTGTTTGTAATGAGATGTATTCACCCTATTTCGTCTGAGGTGAGGAAGGACTGGTAGAAGAAGAATTTTCCCACAATGCTCTGAGTTGAGCTGACGTTTACATTGAATTTAACATAGCCTTGCTTTCCCAAAAGTTGTTCTGGATGGACTGCAGTTTCGAGCTCGCATTGGTCTTATCAACACCCTCAGCGGGAGTCGAACCGCGCAGCTTGACACGCTAACCACTCGACTAAACTGCCACGAGCGCCTTTTGGGTCACAGGGCAAATGTGAAAATTCTACTACCAGTCCTACATCACTTTACACGAAATAGGGTTAATACATCTTATTACACTGATTTACTGGTAGTCTCGAAACCCTACTTTCATATGAATACATTGTTTGCGACTTCGAGACCTCGAGTCTCGAATTTTTTTCCCCATTCACATGAGTTGACGATATATTGGACCTTTCGATGTAGCCTTGGCAACGGTTCCTCATCATCCAATTTGTCGCTTTATGCGTTCTGTCTGCTTTTGTCCGTTGCGCGTCGTCTCCTCCTGCCTACAGGCGATCGGCGCCAACATGCATCGTTTCGGCTTGAGGAAGCGAATGGCCTCGGCCGTGGGCGGAGTCGAAGGTCTCCGGAAACGGTTGATACAGTGTCATCACACGTTGGCCAAACCGGACAGTCTGATCGACTGTATGGTGAAGGAGCACATCCTCCGGCTGCCCGTCAACCTGCGCAACATGCGCAGCCTGCGCGAGGTCTATCTTCGCTCGATTGTGCGCTATCCGATCCTCTATCGCATGATCCTGCGCCGGCGAACCATCATGCCGCAAGAGCTGCAACACTTTCTCAGCCGGATCATGGAGGCCACCGATCTCTCCGACAAGGTGCTCATTTCGGCCGCTCAACCATGCGCCCAAATGGACCACGAAGAGGCGCGTCGGCCCAGCCCCGGCGCCGCCAAGACTGTCGCGAGGGCGCCGAAGACGAGCAACTCGAGAGTGCGCCACTTTTCCGCGGCCGCCAAAGAACTCGACGCTTCCGGCTTCTTGCCCGGCGGCCCACGTCTGCCCGAGCGACAACGAGCCGGCCGGATTTCGATGAAATCGCAAACGTACCGACGCCGCCGCGGTACCGACGCCCCGGCAACCGGGGTCCAGGCGTTCAGTGAACACGGAGCCATGCTGATCGGTTGGGGCCTCGAGGCGCCGGAAGACGAGGACGATGAGAACGAGGACTCGGTTAGCCAGAACGAAGAGGTGGAAGAGGAGGGCGAGGAGGCGAAAGAGGAGGAAAGGGAGGAGGAGGAGGAGAAGGAGGAGGAAGAGGAGGAGGAGGAGGAAGA